TGCCGTTCATCGAGTGCACCCACACCGATCCCGCCTGAAGGGTGGGGGCCCCCGCAGATCCTGAGCCTGAGATCCTGCCCGAGGGGGCCGCGTCTCCGAACCCGATTTCTCCGTGCGGCCCTAGTGGCCGTGAACCACAGGACGCAGAGAGTTTTGCGCTGAAACATCTGGCGAAGGCCGAGGTCTCAGCCTCAGCTGTGGTTCAACTGTCATTCCTTTTGCCTTGTGATTCGAGTGTTCGGCCGTCAAGTGGCCCCAATGCCTTTCTTTTCAGCTGTGGTGCCTACGTCCACGGGGGTGTTTCGGGTATTTTTGCTAATACTCGTAGCCTCCCTGCAAGCACCGAGCTCCTTGCACGTTTTGCCAAGCAGATTGTCGGGGACTCTTTTCCATTCACATCCTTGGTGCTCCTTCGGGACAACCTCACTTGCATGCATCGCGATCGCAACAACATTGGCACCAGCGCCCTCATTCGTTGCTCAGACTTCCACGGCGGTGGCCTCTGGGTCTCTGACCGCGAGGGCTCATCGCCCAGACTTTTCGAAGGCAAGAAACACCAGGGTACAGAACAGGATCTTGTGCAATGCCTGTACTTCGATCCCTGCCAGCTGCACTGTACCTTGCCCTGGTCAAACGGCCCTCGGGTCGTGCTTGCAGCCTACTCAGTTCGTGATGTGGGCAGGCTTCCCCAAGCAGAGACCGACCTGCTCCTCAAACTCGGCTTCGGTCGGGAGTCGTGTAGGGCGGGCGCTCCGGCTGCCGCCGTATCTCCGATGCTCCAATCCCAGACCGCCCCTAGTGGTTTAGGCCCTGCCTGCTCGTCCCCTAGGGTTGAAGGCTCGCATGCCTCTGTCGGCCAGCGCTTTCTAAGTAGACAGAACTGTAGGCTCGCGTAGCGAGCCGGGGCGACTCTAGTAACATGTACAGATTTTGTTGTTTGTAATCGTTTCACCCAAACAAACTTTTTACATGTGTTTTCACGAAGAGTTTTTCATGAATGATTTTTGTGGCATTATCGGCATGCGAGATCTCTTTCCTGACTTGATCTCATTCGGCATGGCCGCGCTCGCTTCTTTCAAGCATCAGGGGGGCCGGGCCCATCATTCATGAAATTTTTGAACCCACCCACCCTCCCTTGGGGGGGGATATTGTGCCCCGTTGATCTCGTAGGCCTTGTGCCGAGGTCGGGGCAAACAGGGATCGTTTCACGAATTCCCCCGATCGGCTTTGCAGCCAAAAAGAGTCCGAGCTTCAGCGATTGCATTTCACATGTCAGCTGGAACATATGCTGTGAATTGCATTGTTTCTTAATTTATATTACGATTGGAATCGGTGCATATATGTTTCGAATGTTTCGTGGAGAGCAGAACTCCCATTTGAGATATTCCGAAATTTCGAGTTGCCCCAGTTTTGTATAATTAGAACGCTGCCATCTCGGCGGTAACCCCTTATCCGCGCACAGAGTATGCCAGTGCATGAGCGAGCCACGGAGTTTGGCATGCATGCGTGCAGCAGCAAGCAATCCTGAAGCGCCGGAGACACTTCTAAGAGCTGCCCCGTTCCCCTTGTAAGCGCCGCCGTGAGTCGCTGATGCGCTGCCTCCCCACACTCCGTGAAGTCAGCAATCCTATCGACCATACAGAGGTTGACGGCTCCCGTGGATCCAACGCAAGCCGTTGCTGAGAAAAGGTCGATAAAGTGGGCAAGCTCGGCGTGTCGGTTGTCCAAGAACCTCCACACCGCTTCCGCTTGCTGGATCGTGGAAACCTGCTCCGGTGCTGGGAGTGACGGCTCAAGCTCGCGGGCCCATTCCGCAAGGAACTTCCCTTTGACACTCTCGTTCGAATGAAGCAGCCCTACAAAGGACTGGAAGTTGTGGAGGAGACGCTTGGCCGGGTTAACCAGCACAATGCGCTCACCTCCCAGGGCACATATCCTGTGCCCCTGCGTGATGTACAGATGAGTGAGGACACCCAGGAGAAGGCTCCGTAGGCTGTCCTGTCTCCAGACACGAAGCCTTTCCTCCGACTCAGGGATCTCCAGGAATTGGAGTCCCGGCTGCCATTGACCATGCGGGTCGCGAAGAGCGTTCTCCCTGGCAGTGCTCGAGGACGCTAGCCTGCCAATAACAGGCAATCCTGGTACTCTCCCAGGAGTGAGCTGCCACTGTACAGCCTGCGGGTAGCGACACGCTGTAATCAACAGGTAGACTTCCGTGAGCAGGCGTGCCGAGCTGACTAAGCCAAGGTTGAACACTACCCCATTGACAGCTTCCATGCCCTCAGCTTGGAAAGTACTTCGAACAGCCTTGAGTCGCGTCCCCATTGCAGCAAGATTGGCCATGTATGTAAGGACACCATGAGGTCCAGCCGATTCAACCGGCGCCGCAAGGACAGCTATGTCCTCGTCTGCGATCTCCGGGCAGGCAAAGCACGGCAAGCCCTGCACTCGGAGCAGCGCGGCATAAGGGACACGGCTCGTGACTCCGTTTATGGTCACATCGCAAGCTCTTTCTGCCGGGACGTCCCTGAGGAGGGAGCCCCTGGTAGTGGGCTCCGACACTAAGAAAAGCCGGCGTGCCCAATCCTCCCTGACCACCACCTCTACAGGCGAATGACGCTCATCGAGCAAGAGCGTGCCCTGCACAGCTTCTGCCAAGCAAGCAAAAGCACTCACCCTCACCGGTCCGAGGTGCGTTGACTCCACAAGCCTGCTCACGGTCCTTCCCACCTGCAATGGTTGTATCAGTGGGAACCCCGTGCTGGCCACGCCACGTATGCCTACCCGTTTCTGGAGGAACCGGTCTATGGTGGCGAACTGGATGTCATTGCCGCCTCCTCCAGTGGGTTGCTTCGGGTCACCAGTGCGGATGAGCAGGGCATCCACCGCTGCCTCCTTAACATTAACGGATTCTGAATGCCCTTCTTGCTGTCCCTCGTCAATGACTAGGGCGCGGCATCGAACCAGTGCCGTCAAGACTTCAGATCGCCAGCGGCTGGTTGCTTGCTGGAGCGATAAATTTGTCATCATGCACGTGGACTCAACCGAGATGGTCGACCAAAAGCCCATTGGGCAGAGTCATAGTAGAGGCCTCCGGAAGGCAATGTGCAAAACATACAACTCAACTGTGATCTCCACAATCTACGTTTGGCATGTTCCAATCCTGCCATAGGCTGTAGGCTTGAATGTGCGCACGACATTGTATGGATGCACAACACTCAATTTTTACCGCTGTGAACTGTGGCTTCGGTTCACAAACCAAGCCCAGTTCACAGATCGGTGCAGACGGGCCACAGCTCGGACCTTGCGGTTGCAAACAAAACGGTTGCCGCACTGGAACAAAAAGTTCTGCAGACGTGCAGGTCATGTTAAATCTTGAACCTCAATGGCCGATCTTTTCATGAAGGTTTTCATGCAAGACGATGTTTGGACCAACCCGCCAGCTTCACTGACGTTTTTGGTTCGAAGTTGTGCTCAGTCCAGATTTGTCGTGAATTTGCCACGCCGGCGCAATAGTCGGCTTGTAGTCTTGTTGTAGAATTGCAGCTTTTATGCTTTGTCGCCCCAATTTTTCGCGTATTGGCCTGTTAAGCCCATGTTCGTGGATGTTAAACACTTTACGCAGGGGTCTGTCCAGCGTGCGGGGGTTGGAAAGTTGGACCCAGCATTGTGCAAAATGAATCTTGGCAATTTCCTATGATCCATTGTTTTTCGTCGACCTGGCTGCCTGGCTTGTGTATTCATTCATGCATGAGCTTGATTTGCCGCTGTCGATGCTATCGAGACACCAGGCTTCGTTGGTGTCACACCCGTGAGAGCACACTGAGATTCTCAGTGGTTGAGAGTAACGCATAGATGGTTTCCGGATCCAGAAGATTGTAATTTAGCTCGATGCACTTCCGATGTCTGGGTTGGGAGCCATGCTCGTTCAAGAACATTCAATAAACATCTTATCCCAATGTTGGCTTCACGTACGCACCACAGAAACACGAAAACTGTCGCGATGAACGCAGTCATTCTGCCCAGAGTCGTGACTCCCTGTGCGGCGCAGGCCCCTTGCGATTTGTCGGTCGTTTCTGCAATGCATGAAGAAGCATTCGATGTGAGCACAGCATGCTTCGCATTTGCAGCAGACCATTTGACTGACAAAGGCCGGAATAGCTGCAGCAATCGCCGTGCAGGTGGCTTTTGATGTGCGGTTGCACACACGATGCTAGGTCCTGGTTTTCAAGCTTTATCTTTCGCAGTGCCCAATGGCTCAGGTGCGGGGAAAATCGAACGCGATCAATTCAGTTTCTCTGCTGTTCTCGCCTCATGTGCCCATGTCATGAAATGCCGCTGATTTGCTGTCGGATGCTAAGGCGCCAGTACTACAATCGCTTGCCGATACGCAGGAAGTACAAGCGAGCAGTGATGAGGGGAACCATGGTTATGTGCGAAAAGACTGGCCAGGAGGGGTTGGGAAGAAACTTCATGTTTCTTTGAAGTCATTGTCGAAGCTGTTCTTGTAAGAACCACGAGTAACTGCTGCAGGTTCGGATTCCTCCGCTGGCCATTTCTGGCTATGATGAGCGGAAGAATCCCTACAAGGGAAGGCCCTAGCCGATTGTGTTCGTAAGCACTTTCGTTGGCAGCAGTTCGACAAAGAATTTCGACCTGGTTCCTTGTTTGATTATGTTCTCTAGGATGACTCCTGCTGAACGCGTGTTGATGTCAATTCAGGGGCGGCATGGATGTGTAAATTCACTCGAACAGGTTTGAAGACCTCCGGTCTACACGGATATGGCTGAAGGACTAGTAGGTTTCGATTTCTACGGAGCCCGAAGCTTCGTGCACGTTTCACAAGCTCACATCTTTGTGCTCTTTGCAAAATTGCTGTGCGTTCGCTTCGTCGGGAGTCTTGTGAGTGTCGTGATGCTCTGCGCTCACTTGCGCAGATGGTGCTATCTGACACTCGCTGGCCCTCAAGAGAAGTTCATAGAGCAGGCAGCGGCATTGCCATGTCGCCCGGTTTGGAAGAATTGTTCTTTGAACCTGTCGGAGAAGAGAAGAGGTCAAAGTGGAACCAAGTTGGCCCAAACAGAGGTTCGTATATACAGATCGAAACGTTTCAGAATGTAGGACCGGGTGCAGGCAACTTCGACAAAGGTCCTGGCGGAGACTTCCACAGTGTTCCGGAGGGCCTAGGTGCTTTCAGGCAGATCCAGACATATCAGCACGTCGGGCCAGGCCTTGGTGATTTTGACAAGGAAAATGTGACTTCCTACTCAGAATGGAAGCTGCGAACGAGGTGCTTGCTGGTCATGCTGCTTTTGCTGCTCGTCCTGGTGGCCGTGGTCTCGTACCTTCTCTTGCGGAAGAACGGTGCCGACATCAGTGGAGGGCCTCATGCTCAGGATTTCCACGGCCACGACATTCACAGCTTGGAAACTGTCTATAATTGCGATGCAGGTTATGCCGAATGGCAAACCAGCTGGAGTGAATCAAAGAAAGCCTTCTGCTGCAGAAGTATCGGAGTTGCATGCGACCAGGCGGCATATGACTGTGATGCAGCCTACAGCCAGTGGGAGAGCATGTGGTCTTCGGACAAGAAGGAGTACTGCTGTGATCAAACTGGTCGCGGCTGCAGTCCAGTGTCCAAGGAACCATATGACTGCCAAGTTGGGCTGGCACACTGGCAATCAGACTGGACAAAGGGAAAGCAGCTTTGGTGTTGTAGCACACATGCACTTGGCTGTCCAGACTACGGCTACAGCTTAAGCTTCAACTGCGACGTCGGCTTTGCAAGATGGGAGACGGACTGGTCCTGGACAAAGAAGCACTGGTGCTGTGCTCACGAGCAGAAAGGCTGTCAGGTTCCCTTCAACTGCCAAGCAGGTCTCGCAAGTTGGAGGTCAGGCTGGTCTTATTCCAAGCAGAAATGGTGCTGCAGTCACGAACACGTAGGCTGTTTATCATCAGAACCTTTTGATTGCCAAGCCTCTGCAGACCAGCATGGATGGTCCGAGCCTAAGAAGCACTACTGCTGTGCTTCTCATTCGCTGGGCTGTGAGACGACGACTTCCCCCGCCACGTCCTTGCCCTTCGACTGCTCGGCAGGATTCAGTAACTGGCAGCACGGCTGGTCTTATGCAAAGAGACTGTGGTGCTGCCACCACGACCATAGAGGCTGCGCAGAGCCAACAACAGAAAGTTCTACAACTACCACTCCGGCAACCACTTCACCCGTACCAACCCTTCCGTTCAATTGTCACGCCGGCACGGCAAATCTGGATGAGGGATGGTCTCCGAAGAAAAAGAGCTGGTGTTGTGCCCACCAGCACCTTGGCTGTCCGGTATCCTTTGACTGCGATGCTGCCCTGGCCAACTTCTATTCTGCATGGTCGGACAGAAAGAAGACTTGGTGCTGTCACCAGGAGGGCAAAGGCTGCATGGGGCAGCATCAACCGCATCTGCAGCCAAGAGAGGGCTACAGGTGGAAGCACGACGAGGCACGGCATCGTTATGTGTTTGGCTTCACGTGTGACATGGACACTTTGGACAATGAAGTGTTGAGTGTACACCTAATGAAGATGCCCAACAGAGACCCAGAAGACATGGCTGATGGAAAGGACCAGGTCCGTCGCATCAGGTCCGGCCGCACGTGTGAGTTTGCATGTGCATGCGAGTTGTGTGTGTATGTGTATATATTTATATGTATACGTAATATATATATATATATATATATATATGTGTATGTATGGGGTACATACGTAGTTATGCCTATATAAAGATGTAGATGTGTGAAAATATACAGGAATGCTACCTGTTTTTACACACGCTCGCTCGCTCGCGCCCTCTCTCTCTCTCTCTCTGTGCGCAGTGCTGAGGAACATGTAGAACAAGCTCGCATGCGCATGCTATATAGGAACTTTTGATTGATTTTTGCCTGGCAGCGTGGATATTCAGACAGGGCTTGTCAGCAATTGTAAGGCGTACATACCCTCGAACGACACCAGGAGAAGGGAACGAGCCACAATTGCGTCATACTCTGCCATTGGTTGAGCACTTTGAACTCGTCATGTGAGGGCGTTTCGCAGGTGTGTAGGGAAGGCGGCACACAAAGCAGCTGTGCGGGTCAATGTGCCTCCAAAATGTCGTGCTTGTGCTCTGGCAGGTGCATGGCTACTGGACCTGGGTCCAAGCACCTATGCATGTACATCAGGAGCACCTGCACAAGGAGCACCTGCATCAAGATCACGTGCACGAGCAACAACACCCTGTCCACTACAATTGCCATGCCGGGTTCCACAATTTCGTCGGTGCCTGGAAAGCTGATAAACAGCGCTGGTGCTGTGATCACCAGGGCATTGCGTGCACAGGTCCGAATCCACCGGCTGTGCACCTCCAGTCAGGGAACACTTGGGTTCATGTGAAAGTTGAGGGTGTCTGGACGTGGAGGCAGGTGCCTCGTTCCGAGGGGGTTCCTTTCGTTGTTGATTGCAGCACGGGACTAGATCGTTCCGCCAGCTGGGTGCCAAAGAGAAAAGCATATTGCTGCACGCATGAAGGCAAGGCATGCAACTAGTCCTAGCACACAAGCTGCAGCACGAACGTAACTCTTTTGATCTTGTTGTTCCGATGAACGTTTCACACAGCCGGGCTTGAGCTAAAAGGCTCCAGTCCTTCAGTTTCCTCGACCATGAGGCAACGTCGAAACACCGCGTCAAAACGGCCCGTTGAGGCCCGTGACCTCAGTGAGATTCCTTCAAGCATGTGAGTGTGTGTGACCGCAGCCTCGGGCTCGCATAGATCTACCTGCCCAAAGGGCGAGGAAGCTTCCTTCACGTGATGGCGGCCATGTTGGAGCTAGCTGAATCGGCTTCGGAGGTCAGCTCGGATGATTCTATTTTCGATTCTGATGTAGAAACCAGTGATGATGAGGAGTTCAATGGAATCCCGATATTGATGACGGCAGCCAATATCGCGAAGAACATAATCGGTGAAGGTATTCTGAGCCTTCCAAAGGGGCTTGCTGACACCGGAATGGTGTCGGGTGTTCTCATCACTCTTGTCTTCTACGCAGTTATGGTCTACACGTTCTGGACCTTGGGGAGAGTTTGCGAGGCAACAAACGAGAAGAGTCATAGGGGAATGGGAAACAAAGTGACGGAAGGTGTGGTGTTCGGAAACGTCATGGCGGCCACCAACTTGCTTAAGACGCTTTTCACTTGCACAGCGTATGCTTTGGTCATTGGCAGAAACGCAGAAGATATCCTGGCCCCCTTAAACTCCAATTCCTGGTTCTGCTCTAAGCGCGGTAGCTGGGTGACCATACTGCTTTGCATCCTGTTGCCTCTCTGTTTACTGCGTGACATGGGGAAGCTTGCATGGACCAGCTTTCTGGGGCTTCTCTGTGAGACCGGTGTGGTCTGCTTCATGACATGGCGACTTCTGGATGGATCTTACCAGGTCGGCGGCGAGTTCTATGGCAGCCAGACGTCCGAAACTCGAGTGCACTGGGATGAAGGTGGCCCGCAATTTTGGACTGTTAGCCCTGGTACACTTACCCTTGTCTCGAGTATGTCGACGGCGTTCCTTGCACACTACAATGCGCCAAAGTTCTACCATCAACTGCGCAAGAGGAGCTCCAGGCGTTTTTTTACCGCCAGTTCCTTGAGCTTCACTTGTGCATTGGTGCTGTTTTTAACGTGTATGCTGGTCGGGTACTTGACCTTCGGCCAGGCGTGTCAGGGCAACATTCTGCACAACTACTCGGAGCGCGATCCTGGAGCTGCCGTCTCCCGCTTCGCCATGCTCCTCGCAGTGACCTTTGGCTTTCCCATTGCCTTCACTGGTCTTCGGGATTCGGCTTTGTCGCTCTTTTCCTGTTCCTCGCGACGAAGAGTCTGGGTGCCACTGACACTCGGGCTTCTGACCTTGATTGGTGCTCTTGGATGGTCTCTCGATGATTTGGGCGCTCTGAACAGCCTGGGAGGTGCAATCCTGGGCTCGCTGATTACACTCATTTTTCCAGGTCTGCTGCTGTCATGGGCCTATTCCTATTCTTTGTCTGATTCTGATCTGGACTGGAAGGATGATGCACTGCTCTTCTGGAGGGTGGAAGGCACCTTCGTGGGGCATGTGCTGGTTGCAGTAGGCTCCCTTCTGCTGGTTTTCGGAACTCTGGTCGTCGTGCTGAAGGACTTTTTGCACAAAGATATCTGAAGGACGGCCCTTATGCTTAGTGCACGGCTCTCGCTCTGGAGCACATTCCGGAGAGAGCATCGTAGTTTCACAATGCGGGATGATTGCTTGAAGAAGACTTGACCAACATGACCACTGTACCTGTTTCTACCAGGGCTTTTGGAACCAGGGCGGGTGCCAGAAGGTGCACAGGTGTTCGAAGAGGTCGGCCGACTGCAAGGTAAAGGCCACGAAGCAGAACATAAGTAAGAAAGTACGAAAGCAAGGACGGAAAGGGGGCAAACCAAAAGAAAAGCAAAAGCGCAAATTGCATATAGCAGTGACTGGATGTTAAGGGACGACGGATAAACACGCACAACTAAACACGGAAATAATTCACCTGTGCAGAAAGTAACATGAACATACGTGGCAGAACGAAAATGTAACAAGAACGTTCAGGATGCAATGTTGAGTTCCGAGCAGACTGTCATGAATAAACAAACAGACAGACAGCAACACATCCGATAGAAATGTGCAGATGCAGACAGATACAGTAGACAGCGATGCAGACAGAGGCAGAACCCCAACGCCCTAGCCCTGGCGAAAGAAAAGAGACCGACAGAGACGGACACCCCCATCGATTCAACAGTCGTTGTTTCTGTTGCTGGCCATAGCTTCCGCAGCTACGCTACTCCGACTGAGTGGGATGTTTCGTGTCACAAAGTACTCCGATTACCGATGGTCGCTGCCGTCACCCTTCGCTTTGACTGCGCTCAAATCTGATCGCTATTCGGCCAAGCACTCGAAGTTCCACTTGCTGCCTACATTTCGTTGCTCATGTTGCCCTTGTTGCCGTGCGTCTTAGTGCACGAGCACTGGCTGGTTACATCATCGATTCACCAACTGAAGGCAAGCGTTGAAGGTCCGCTGACTTCACGCAGCGCATCTCAGCCCTCAGCCATGTAAATGCAAGTAAATGCAAGTGTGCAAAACCGTGATGGGCTGCTATGTTGAACATACGGTGTGGACATCAGAGCGAGATGATAGCAGGACTTGATGTCACTAAACGCATGCAGCTAACATGATGTCTTCCGATCTCATTGCTTTCTGTGAGAACTGTTCGTTCTCCGTATCTATGGCAAGGGACCTGTTATATTAGGTTGTCTCTACACTTGTGTGCCTGGCCTTCCTGTACAGGAACGGTTGTGAATATCCGCACTCAAGCGGACCGGCTGGCTCGGCCCAGGGTCAGGATGCGGGCATGCATTGATGTCATCCATCCTCAGTGCCGCGACGGCCACTGCGAAACAAGGCCCAAACGCCCACCATGGACAGAGTGGAGATTTAGGCAAGTTGCCACCGAGCTTCTGTTGGGCGGCGTGAGCAGATGTGCTCCCGTTTCGACAGTGCGAGATCATTGGCAGCGACGCGCCGTCCTTGCCTGTAGGCCGCAACCAGACTGCAACCGTTGGCGCCTTTACTTCGACGCTTTGGCTTGTGGTGCTTAGCAGCAAATGTCCCGGCTTTTTGGCAGCACCATGTCGCATGGAGGAGGTCCAGTGCGGTGCCCTTGCCGGGCCAGGTGCTGTTCTGGACACCGGCTGTTGCATGTCGTATATGTCGTGCTTGCGAATCTCGCAACTTCATTTGCACCTCCAGCCCGGATGCTGGGCATGCGGGAGGCTGATCCATCCGACATCTGCACCTCGACGATCCAGCTTACTGTTTGCGGTGCTGGCAGAGATTCGCGGCATTGCCTCTACGAGTGCTTATAACTCAATGTCAAATAATGCGGCATGCGCCGCGATTGTCAGAGGGCGGAGTGCGTGTCGGCCGCACCGCCACGGATGGCACCTTCGTCAGCCTCACACGCTTCTGTCGGAGCAGGAGGACGGGAAGCGCAGCCGACGATGTAGCTTCATCACCTGCGGGCTGAAGGTTGGGTGTCTCTGGGGGTGCGAAGGTGAGGACTGCGGCGTCATTGTGTGCTTGCCTCTCGAACATCCCCAACGATGTGGAGATTGTTTGCGGTTCCATAGGCGGACATGAATTCCGCATGCCGTCAAAGGGATCCGCGCCTGTGCGTCTGCCCTTTCCGCCGACAAGCGAAGCCGCGAGAGACACGGCCCTTCACACCTCCATTGCTTTTCACATGGCCGTGAAGCATGAGAGGCCAAGAGCAACTGTCCGTTCACTCGAGCAGTCGAGCTCAATTTGGACTTGTATTTCGGGTACTGGGTGGCCGTGTGGTCATTCTGGTCGCTGGAGGCATCAGGCAGTAAACAGCGAGAGCCCCTGGGCCCTACAGGTACTAGTAGCGTCGATTACCGTCCCCACGATGAATGTGCAGGACTTGTCAATCGAGAGCGTGGCTGCCATCGAGCCGGTCCATCCGGCAAACGAGCCGAGCACCGCAAAATTGTTGGCGCAGGGTGAAGATTGGCATCTGCCCTCGTGCCCCTCGCACGCGGCCAGCCGTCGGAGTAGCGATGGTGGGGTCCGGTGCTTTGGCCTTGGGGTTCCCCTGCCGCGCGACCGGTGTTGCTGCTGCGGCTCCGTGCTTATGCACAGTATCGTGGGGAACTAATGAATGGTAACAAACAACATTCAACATTCATTTCTCGCGGCTTCTGTCGTCCTTGCTTCGGGAGTGGATTCTAGCGCGTTGTGGTCAACATGTCTCTCAAGATGGCAGAATTGCTCGGCACGCTTCGCGGCGTGGTCCCGAGTGCCTGGCTATACGTTGCTGCATGCCATTCGTGTGTGTGCCCTGTTTGACACACAGTGCCACACCTGGTTGGAGCGCTTAGTCTTACAACTTGTGCCACAGTTTGGTGATGCTGAACTGCAGCGGTGGATTTGTGATCTTTTTCCCGTGCCATACCTATCAGTGCCCATGTCCACGATGCGGCAGCCATCGGTCACAGGAGCTCTTCCCAGGCCGGTTGAATAAGACGACGCGATGCAAGTTGCCACAAGGACTCGAGCAACTGGGCAAGACGGACTTCACAGCAAAGGCGGTCCATGACATCATCAAAGTTCGCCTCCAAGCGAAGGAAGAGGTTTCTCCTGGATGACCTTTACGCCCTCACCTGCCCCGGGCGCGGGTCGCACGCGATGTCGTGGCTGGCGGCTGGCGAGGTCGAAGCTGCTTGCGGGATAGCTTGAAACCACGGCGAAACGCGGATGTTCGGCTGACCTCGGTCCGGATGTGTGGCGAAGTGACAAAGTCGCCAAGGGAACGCGGCTTCGTGGTTCTCGGCATGCCCATCGGGCATCCGGCGTTCATCCAGGCGGACGAGAGGAGGACAAGCTTTTGCCCAAACTTCCCGACTTTCAGTGCGCCTGGCTCCTCCTCGCCCTCTGCATGCGCGTCGCCCCGAGCAGACACCAGCCCGGCAGCGTACTGGGCCCCCTGGGCTGATGCGGCCGGTTGTGTCGCGGAACTTGAACGGTCAGCCTCCAACCAGCTTTTAATGCTCCTGTTGCTCACGCAAGGTTGGTCGGCCTGTCCCACTTTGGCGCAGCTGCTGGACAACGGCTTTGCCAGACCGGGGTGTATGTAGTGGACTGGCCCCATGCGTGGCAGAACCACGCGACGCTGAAACGCACCTGTTGTTTTCGCGACCGCGTGCTGTCGCCGACCATGGATCCAGCTTCCTGCGCACGGTCCCAGGGCGGACCACAAGCCGGGGCTTGGCTGACCGCCATTCCCTCGGATGAAGCAGATCGTACTGCGCCAACACTTGCGGCGGCGACGCACCAGGTTCGGCTTGTTCCGTGGATCCTTTGGGGGACCATGCCGTGGCATGCCCGCACACGGGCCTCCTCGCGCGCCGGGCCAAAATCGCCGAGAATGCCGCAAGAACATTTGAGCATGATCGCAAAAAATTTGCAGAGAACGGCTTCGAACCTCAGCAGACTTCAGCTTAGGAGGATCGAGGATAGAACAGCAACAAAAGAATTCAAATCCGGAGGTGGTAAGAAAGTGATGCCAGGCAACTGCCGGAGCGTCTTCCGTCAAGAATTCTGTTTGCATCGACATAACTGCCTTCGGCGAAGGGTGTTCGTAGTGACAGCAACACCGTGGCGTGCTTCGGACAATAACATCCCCAGCCGGCATCAGCTGCTTCTTCGCAGGTTTGTATTGCTCAAACCTTTTTTTGCCGGTAAAGCCTTCAGCTGTGCGGAATCGTGTGACGGGGTCGTGCGGCCCATCGTGATGGCGTGTCCCGCGTTTAGCGGGATCCAAGGCAGGCACGCACCCTGCGGCGCCTCAGGAAACCAGCCACGGTGCACCCAGGGCCGTGCCGCCAACCGCGCGCTGCACCGCGGCCGCCAGCATGCTCCACTACCTGCGCGAAGCGTCGAACAAGCGCCTCTGCGGTAGCCGGGAAGATGAGGCCCCAACGAAAACATGTCCGTGCTTCCCCCAGATCTGAGCTCTGCCCCTGCAGTCTAGTCAGTGAAGTACGGTACTAGTCGAGTACCGAAGGGCAGCCTGCTTGCCAACGGAAGGTAACCGGGGCGACACTAGCATGGCGGCCAGAGCAACGGCACTAGACCTCTGCACCGCAATGTTTCGGATTCGGAATGTAAACTTAGTGATCCAAGAAGGCAAAGCTTCCACGTCAAACAACTGAGGTCCCAGTCATGCCAACCTCGTTAATGAAACTGGACGAGTCCACTGGCCGCTTGCACACATGCCAAACCCTATTGCACCCATGCCAGGCATCCCTCCCGCCCACCTAATCGCTCAGCCACCCCTCGGCTGTGGCATCTGCCTCATTCCTATTTTTGTTGAGCTCTGTCAGGCTCCAGACAACCTAGTAAGACGGCCCTTGGTCAGGGCCGACTCATCGCAGCGGCAGGCGGCTTCGGCTCGACTCGTGCGTGTCGGCCAAGTCCAAAAACCTCACGCAGGGCTGGCACATCGGTATGGACGGCCACGGAAAGCATGCTCCACCAGCGGCGGGCCTACGATCTGGCATAGGAATCTCAACTGCCAACTCGTTCTACATTGAGGTTACGGCCGCTATAAGGTTTGCACCAGTATGCATTCCCTCACCTCCACGATACAAGCCTTGCTTGGGGAGTCAGCAGGCATGGGGTAAGGACGACGACGATGATTGCGCAATGATCATGCCGCTGCGTGCGCAGCTTGGGTTGCTCGCTGGTTTCGCCTGCTGGCAGCCGCTGCGCAGCTTCGATGCGGCGGTTGTCGGCTGCCGGCACATCGATATTCATATTTGCTCAGCGGACATCACGGGCAACACGCTTCGCCGGCTTCTCGGCAAAACCTCGCAGCAGCCTGTTCCACAGGGAGGGCCCGGCAGGCGAGCCCTCCGGAAACGGCGCAGGCAGGCGGGTGATCATTGAGAGGGTTCAGGCGACTATGGCAGGCGCACGTATGCGGGGCGACCAGCACCGGCGCAGCATCAGGACGTTGAACGATGGCGAAACCTTTAGTTCAGTTGAGGTGGGACCGATGATGAAGGCCCGTGCAGCATGTGGTCCAGCCTGCGACAGCAGCAGCGCTCGAGATGCGGCCTCAAAGTAAAAGAGGTTGCATTTCAAGTGCGCGCTTCTGAATGGCACGGACGGCCTGATGCTGCCAGCTCCGCGGAGAGTCGCAAAAGCCGGGGTGCTTGCCCGGGAGGCGATTCAGCGAGGCCCATGGAGGAGTGTCGCGGTTCCTGTGTTCACTCAGGGTTGTTTCGGCAGTTCTTACCCCGCGGCCTTGGGTTCAAGCATACACCACTCAACAGCTGCCTGCTTTGCAAAAAACTTTAGCTTCAGCTTTGCTTGCTTTACATGTGAGTCTGCTTAGGCTTGTAGCTGTCAGGACTACTTTTCAGCAGCTTTAAGAACACGCTGTTAGTTGACAGCTTTGCATGGACATCGAACCTGCGCCGCACAGCCCCCAGCTTCAAGCCGTTTTGCGCGACCTCGACAGGGACGTCCGGCAGTTTGATATTCGCTTGCTTGAAGCCTGCCTTACCGACGACGTCAGGAGTCTCTGTGATAGAGTTTACGATTTGGAAGCTGAAAGTGCAGCCCAGCGAGCGGAAATTTCCCGCTTACTGTACACGGCAGGGTCCAACGCTTGGAGGACCAGCTTCACCAAGGTCGCGGCTGGATTCTCCACTTGTCTGATAGGACGACAGCCTTGGAAGAGGTGACCCAAAGGCTTTCTATCAAACTCCGGTCTCTGGTGACTCTGCTTCGTGAGACACTTTCGGAGACAGTGGCGCGCCTTAGGATCTGGTTCTAACTATGTCCGCTTCTGACATTGTGGTGGTGATGCACCAGCTTTGCCGTCTAGCAGGGTGGCTACGGACATACTCTTGGCTGACACTTCGCCTTTCTGCACTGATGCTGATGCTTTGGAACTTAAGGATTCTTTTCGCAACCACTTTGCTGATTTTGCTGACCCGGTGGACCCTAATCAGGTTCCCTCAGCTTCAGCGCCCACTTTTGAGGTTGCCGATTCAGATGCGGAGGAAGCTTTTGAACCCAGGAGTAAGCTTCGTCGCCGTTGGCGGTATCAGGCGCATTGTGCCCCGACGACACCTCCCCTGCCTATGGAGAACATCTTCTGGTGCTTCCAGCGGGGACCAATCTTGGCAGGTTCGGGGCTGAGGCTGCCCAGTTGCTCCGACTCCTGGCGCGCCAGCGAGCCCAAGCCGTCCCTGCCCACCTCCGCCCGACCGCCATCAACGCCTGGGTAGCGCGCTGGTCCGGCCTCCTTGCAGTTGCCGCGCAGCGAGCGTACGCTGCCTCGCTGCTTGAACTCCTTCCTGCTGCCGAGCTCAGCGAGGGCACTGAGGCCGACCTGCATGAGGTCCTCGCTGACGCCAGGTGGCTCCAGGAGGTTCCGGCCAGCCGCTTGCCCCCACGCTAGCTGCAGTGTGGTGCCTTGAGTGCACCCTCTTCAGTGGTAGGCAACGGTAGGTCATCAAACTACTCTAGGTCGACCGGACACGTTCTGCCGTCGCAAAAAGGTGCGCCGAAAAAAAAAAAAAAAATCATACATGAGGAACAGCCGGAAGCCGAGATGACAGCTTTCACAGGGTTTGCTCCGGGTCCATCAACGTTTCGGATTATGCCACTGCGATCCACCCCTCCTCGACCCAGCTTGCTTGCTACGTCGAGGGCACCCACTTGGCCCCGAGGGTGTGTCTGAGGTACAACTCCCCCTTTCAGGTGGGCTACCACGGGCGTCAGCCTACAGTGGCTCGGCTCCGCCCCTGCGCTCCCTTTCCTCCCCGGCTTCAGGCCCCCAGCAATGTTCCTGTTCAGCAGTCTATACCCCAGAACTTTCCGACGGCGAAGGCACTGCCGCACTTTCAGGACGCTTCAGCATACGCTGTTTATCCCGCACGGCAGCAGACTCCTGTTCAGGCTTCACTTTCCTTGGCTATACCGAGACCGGTCCAGCCCTCAACGACATCTTTGAGTGCACCCTCAGCATCGCACCCGCCTGCTTTGCGTGCTCCGGCGGCCGGCATGCTCACCAGCAAGGACAACCACCAGGCATGCGACGAACGCAATAAGGTCCTTTTTGACCAGCTTTGCAGATCGCATAGGGCTTACAGTGAGGTTCTCCATCAGCTGGAAAGCAGTCGAGAGGGTGCTGTGATCCGGTCCAGCTTGCTGAGCAAGGTCAGCGATACCACGGCAGCCCGGTACCTTCGTTCTGTGCAGCTTTTCTTTTGTGCCTTTGAGGAGCTGGGTGGCAACATGGACTCCATCGATCAAGGCCTCTTTCTTGATGCATTCTTCGCTTTGTCTCGAGGTTCGGAGTCAGGTCCGCTTTCCAACAGCATCAACGTCCTCAAAGCTCTTCGTTGGTACAAGAAGCTTCTGGCCCTTGTGTGCCTGCCAGATCTGTACGGCACCGCTTTCAGTCTGCTTTCCAACCCAGCCGGTCAGGAAAAGCGGGAGAGTATCCCTCTCCCCTTGTCGTTCGTCGCCTTTCTTGAGCGCACTCTTCTCTCGGGCAAGGCTAGCTTGATGGACAGGATCTGGGCGGGCTCCTTCCTGGTGGCCATCGGCGCCAGCCTCCGCTTCGCTGATGCGCAACACGTTCGTTGGAGCACTCTGTGCTTCAGCAACTTTACACTGCGAGGCATATGCTACAGGACCAAGACCACCAAGGGTGGTTGCCCTTGGGGCCTCCTCAGCTTTGGCCTGTTTTCTTCATCTGAGGATTGGGGCATGACCTGGCTTCCGCACTGGTTGGGAGCACTAGACACCGTCTGGGGCGACATTCGCTCCCGCTTTGGGCCCCAGCCTGAACCAGACTGTCTGTTTTTCCTTTGGAGCGAGACTGGCTTTGCGCCGGCATCTTATTCACAAGCCCTCCAGAAGCTTCGCTACATGCTTACACTTTCTGGGATTGCACCCGCTCAGGCCGCTCAGTATACACTTCACAGCCTCAAGACAACCTTTCTTTCCTGGATGAGTCAGTTGTCTATCCCGCTCGCCTCCCGCTTTCTGCAGGGGCACCACAAGGCGCCAGGGTCGGCTCAAATGTATTCTCGGGACGATGTGTGGCCAGCTTTGGCCGCGGTGGCGTTCTATGCACGCCGGCTTTCGTCCAGCAGGACCACAGCACAGAGGTGGCCAGTCCCCAGTAGTGGAACCACTTGTGGACACTGCAGGTTTTCAGTGGGAGGAATACTGCCCGGCCCTTTCCTGCTTCTCGCTTGGCAACGATTGTCAGTCCTTTTTAGCCTTGAAGCAACAGGACGGCGATCTATGTGAAGCTCGGGAGTTCAGCTCGACGGTTACACGTTCCGGCGCCAAGCTTCCCTCTTGTGTTCATACTCGTGCGCAGGTCGATCACTTCGAGGACTCCGATGCTGATGACGCAGGCCCGGCTCGTGCTTCTTCTACCGCGACCCACGCTCTGGAGGTCGATCCCACATGGCAAGATGAGTCCCGCGAGGCTCTTACCTTTTCACGCGATGAACAGCCGCTTGCCGCTTCCCCCGCACAGGGACCCCGCCCCATTTGCAAAGAGGTGCGGTACCTTTTGGGAGCATCTGGGGTGGCACACTTTTGCATTTCCCACCCCGGCTCCCGCATGCAATGCTTGGCTTGCAGAGACGCTTCATGCGAAGTTCGATGCCACCCCGCTTGTGGATGCATCTCAGAATTTTCTCCCTTCGTTCATTTTCCGCCCGACTCCCGCTTATGTAAGCGGCGGGCTTGTATTATTGCCTCCCTGGATGCAGCTTGATATCAGCCTGCTCTGAAAACAACTGACGTCTTTGCATTGTGTTCTGGCTTGCACCAGTGCTTGCATCATGACATCATGATTGCGTTGAATCCAACTTTTGGGTTTTTCTTTTTTCAGCTCGAGATGCGCTTTAAGCCCACTTTCTTGCCTCCTTGGGTCATGGCGAAGCTTTCTCCGGAGTACGCCTTCACACTCCTTAAGACGATGACCGACGAGGAGAAGAACCGCTTTCTGAAGCAGTTGGAAAGTGACCCTCTGCTTCCATCCTCTACGACAAGCTCATCCTCGGCGGAGGCGCCCGCCGTGCAACCCGCTGCGGCACATGTGGAAGACCCCATCGGGGAGGTTATCGCCGCCGAGGATTACAGCTTACCTTCAACGGGGCCTACAGCTTCACCGTCCCCGCCGGCTAAAGCTCCACCTGCTTCGGTTTCAGAAGTACAACCCGAAGCCTTCGCCCGAAGCAACTCAGGACGGAAATGCACCCCCTTCGGGGACCGCTTCAGCTGGCACCGGGGGCGACGGCACCGCTGGTGGTGGAGGTGACGGGGTTGCCAACGCGAAACGATGGCAACGAGAACCCGAGGTGAAGGAACCGCCGCCACGGCCGCCCTCTTCACCAACCTCGGCTTCCACAACCCCGGCGCCTACGGGACCTCCGCTTAAGGCCAAGAGTCTGGCCACACCACCGAAGCCCGCTTCGGCATCGGGCGCCCCTTCTGCACCGGCACCGAGTGCTCCTCCCGCTGCCAAGGAGAAAGCCCCACCGCCGCCACTGGCAGAGACTGGCTCAACCGAGGGCAGCGCAGGCACCACAGGCCAGCAGACGCCTGCTTCGGCCACGGCTACGGCTGCTCCGCAGGGCAACAGGGCCCCACTTCTGGCGAGCGATGCCCCGGCGACCCGCTTGGGGCATGAGGGGCAGCCCACGCTTCAATTAGTCCAGCTTTGGGCCTGCCGTAAACAGTGCTCCCAATGCTCGCTTGGACACTGTCACTGGTAGAGAGCGCCAGGAAGCCGCTTCACAATGGAGCCAAGGCTATGAAGAGTGGGGGCAGCACCAGTCCGGATGGGAGGATCAACCCGCTTGGGGGTCCTGGAACTGGAGTGGCCGCAACTGGCAGCATCAATGATGCTTTCGCTTCCCCGCCACGCCTTCTTTTGGCTGTGGCATTGAATCGCCCACTTTTGGGCCTGCCCAACTTGATCAAGGGCGGCCCCGCTTTGGGCTTGTGGGCAAGAAGCGCCCGGCTTCATCGAAGCCAGACATACTCGAGCTCCGCTTCCCGCTTGAAAAAGAAGGCAAACCCGCGTGCCGCCTTTATGAGGTCAGTTCACGCTTTGAACTTTTTGATACGCCTCTTCATTCTTGGTTTCCCGCTTGGATCCAGCAAGATTGACGGCCCCCGCTCCGGGCATCCCTCGCTTCCACGTTACAGGCCACAGATGCCAACATGTCAACCTTTGCAAACTTCTTGTCTGCTGCAGGACCACTGGTGGCAACGTTTCATCCTCAGCTTCAGTTCGTAGTGTCTTGTCGAAATCACAACCACCAGCTTCAGGTCACGCGAAGATGACAGAATTCACACAACTTGTGGCCGACTGCAATGTGCCAGCAGCTGTATCCTCTCTGCTTTCCGCATTCGACGTTGCTTTGTTTGCCCGGTCCTGTACCACTTCGGCAGAGCTTGAAGAGTTGGTGAACCACTTTCTGGCCGAAGCCTCAGTCACGGAAGCAGCTGAGCGCTTTATCACCAAAGCCTCTTTGCGCTTACTCTTCTGCAAGTGCCGAACTTCGGAGGGCATGGTATCTCTTGAAGCTGCGCCTATTTCCAGCGCACCGCTTGGGGAGGGAACATCAGCTGCAACCCCTTCTCCCACAGCCTCGCCACCTCTTTCTAGCTCCTGGCAAGAGGCTTGGCCCGCAAAATTGAGCGGGGAGCGCACGGCAGCGCTCAGGAAGCGGTTCGAGGAGGATTACCCCACCGAACTTCTTGATGCAGAGAGCTTTCCAAGCGCCCGCTTGAGGTGCGATGGATTCCTTGGAAATACCGCTTAAGCGCCCGCGCGCAAGAGGACAGTCTCCTCGTCCGGCCTAGGAAACAGGCCCGCTTTGACCTGACAGAGCTTTTTCTCGACGAGGCTCCTACCCGTGACATACATGAAGGCCCCGCTTCTTTTGGCTTCGTCACACAGCTTCTGTCACTAGCGGCCAAGGCTCTCTGAAGCTTTATAATAAACGCTTCATGAGGATCTGCTTCACCAGGTACGAGGCCGCCGCCAGCTTACGCGGTCCTACCACCATGGAAGCCCAGGCCGCCGACCGCCGCTGTTGGGAAATCATCGCCGACTTAGTCAACGTGCACCATTGGAAGCTGGATGATGCGCTTCACGAAGTCGCCGAGGTGCGCTCTGACATGCACAGCCTGCTTGCTCCGAGGCCCAAGCCAAAGTTCGACCCGGACAACAGCTGGAAGGCCCGCTTCACAGGCAACGGTCGCGGTGGCAAGGGTGGCGGCCGTGGCGGCAAAGGCCGTGATGGCAAAGGCGAGAAAGGTGAACGCTTCGAGAGAGGTGGCAAAGGCGGCAAGGGCAAGGACAACAAGCAAGCCACCCCTCCCGGAAAATGGCTTTCCACGCTTTTCATGGATGGCAAGCGTCAGACACTTTGTATGAGGTACCAGAGCGGACAATGAAAAGAGGACAGCCGCCGAATACAGCGCCAAGAACTGCAAGCGAACTTGCCGCAGCGGGTGCAGGCAGTCGAGGACCTTTACCAGGAGAAGGTGCTGGAGGACGACCGAAAAAGGAGGACAGCCGCCGAGCACGGCGGCAAAAGCTGCAAACGGACCGTGCCACAGCGGGAGGAGGCAGTCGAGGACCTTTACCAGGAGAAGGTGCTGGAAGACGACCGCAAGAAGAGGACAGCCGCAGAGCACAGCGGGAGGAGCTGCAGGCGAACCGTGTCGCAGCGGGGAGAGGCAGTCGAGGGCCCTTGCCAGGAGAAGGTAGACGACCGAAGAAGAGGCCAGCCGCAGGGAGCAAGGAAGACGGCCACGGCGAACCATGTCGCAGGAAAGACTCGTACCTAGGACCCGGCGACCTGCCGTTACTTGCACAGATGCGCAGTGCCCAAGAGTGATGGCACAGCTTGTGGGGGCAACCACCCTGCTTCGCAGCACGTGGCTACCCCGCATTAGGAAACCCACTTCAGCGAGCAGCGGGACATCGCTGAGGAGGTCACGGCTGTCCCGCTTAGTGTACCGGCACAACCGTCAGGCTCTGCAGGGGCCACTTCGGCACTGCCCAAGGCACGTGCCCCGGTGTCCTGTGCAGCTTCTGCACTCAGTGAAGGCTCTCTCGACTTCGCTACATGCTTGGAGCTTCTAGCGCAGTACTTTTCCACTCCCTTCACTTCTTCTTCTCACTGCCCCGACAATGCCATTGCAGCTTCTGAGGCGTATTTCAACTTGGGAGCTTTCGCTTTTGACAATGGTGCAAGGTCGGGCATCTTTCAGCGCACAGAACAATTTTCAGATGTTCTCCGATTCTTGAACGCTTTATGCAGCTTCAATTTCTTGAAGCTTCCTGGAGTTCCCTCTGCGTCAGCCACAACGTTCGCACCCGCTTGCATACAGATGCTGGCAACGCGGCAGGGACCTTCAATCACACAGTTTCACTCGGTAACTTCAGCGGCGGCGAGGTCTGGATTTACCCCGCTTTGAACCCGTCAGCTCATCAAGTCCCGGCACCCTTGGATGCTTCATCCGAGGCGCACAGCGCCACAGAGGCGGGCAAAGGTGAGTTGCGGGACACTTGGCATGCGCCGCTCTCATTCAGCTGTGAATCGCTTCATTGTACGATGCCGATACAAGGAGACAGGTGGGTATTGACTGCCTATACTTGCAAGCACTTGGTCAACTTCGACTCAAAGTCTCTTGCTCACTTGAGGTCCTTGGGCTTCCCACTCCCGTCGGCAACCCCAGGTAATGATCAGCCAATATCGCCCCCGCTCAAGGATACAACATGCGTTGAGCTTTTCCTGGACATATGCTGTGGGGCTGCTCACCCACTTACTACGGCGCTGTCGTCATGTGGCATCACTTGTCTGCCCATCGATCTGCTTGGCGAGGAGCAACTGGACTTGCTCAACGATGACACTTACGACCACCTCCTCCGGCTGTGTTTTTCGGGGATTGTCCGCTTGGCTCACGGATCCCCTCCCTGCAAGGAGTACTCCCGCTTAAAGCTTCGTCCAGGCGGCCCCCCGGCTATTCGATCTCCGGATCATCTGAATGGCCTACCAGGGAACACCGCTTCACAGCAAGCCAGGGTACATAGCAGCCAGAAGCTTTTATACCGCTGTGTATGCCTTCTCCGAGCCGCCTTTGGTTCAGGTGCACACGTATCCCTGCACCAGCCGACCAACGCTATGTCCTGGCTGGAGCCTTTTGTTCAGGACATGCTCTCCGAGATACAAGCTTCACTGGTCAACATCCCGGCATGTTCAGTGAGCCAGGACATTGCTAAATCTTGGCTTTTCGCTTGCAGCTACAGTGAATTCCGCTTTCTGGCAGGCACATGCTCACATGAAGGAGGTCACCAGTCCGTCGCAGGCGCTCGGGACGAGCACGGTAACTTCTTGTCCCAAAGGACGGCGGAATACCCGTCCCAGCTTGCCAAGAACTTCTCCGAAAAGGCAGTGAACTTGTTTTCTTCAGGCAGACCTTCCTACCCGGTTGCTCCCTGCTCTCTGAAGTTCGCACTGGCCTCAATTCCCAAAAAGCCACGATCAGCAACGCCTACAGCCGCGCAGGATGGCGGGGGCATTTATTCATTGCCCGACTGGTCCCTTGGCCCAAGGTACCAATCTGACAGCTTACACGACCTGCGGAAGGAATGGCAATCTTGGCTGCTTGGAAACAGAATTCCTCTTCGGCTTCAGCAACATGTCGCCGAAGCCAGCAATAAACCTCTTTTCTCAGAGGAAGCAAGACAGAGGCCTGCTTGGATTGAGACAGCAAGAACGCCTCTTTTTCTACCGCGTCTGTCCCTTCGGGGCCACTTTTTCAAGCCACTGGTTTGCCCGCTTAGGGGGCTTCTTTGTGCGATGCCTGCATCTACTTATCTGGTTGTCACACGTCCTCATGCTGTACGTAGATGATTTGCTTCTTTGGCAAAACTCTCGTGCACTTCCGCTTAGCGCTTCCCTGGTTTTGGCATTCTGCGCCTGCTTCAATATACCGCTTAGTTGGCGGAAACTGCAGATGGGACCCTCGATAACCTGGATAGGTTGGCAGATCGATTTCCACGCTGGCTGTTACACTTTACCGGAGCTTAAACGCTTGAAGCTGCTTGGCCAGGTGGAGGAATGTCTGCGGCATCGCCTCGTCAGCCGCAAACAGCTTGACAAACTCCTTGGCCTGCTTCAGTGGATACTTCATGGGCTTCCGGCTTTACGCCCCTGGCTATGTACTCTCTACGATGACATGCACAGACCTCTTGGTACTAATGTCAGCATCAGCCCATGTGCCTGGCCAGGCATCCACGCTTACCTGGACGACAAGCTCCGCTTCACAAGTAGCCCTCCGGGCACGAGTATCTCGCCGGGCTCTACCTTGCTTTCGGCTCGGCACAAGGCTCTGAAGAGTAAAGACGACCTGGCTCTAGTCCCCGTAAGCACGAAGCGCATGTGGCTCCGCGTCACGGACCCCACTTCCTCCAAGAGGCGCTTATCTGAGTCCAGCAGAGAAACCCTTGCCTTCTTTGCCCACTTGAGCTCCAGAGACTGGCGGCCAAGGCCGCTTCGACCACCACCTACCAGCTCGGTGGAGTCGGCTGCAGATGCTTTCGGCAAAGGCAATGACTGCGGTGTGGGAGGATGGCTCCTCCTCCCAAGTGGACGCCTGCTTTGGTTTGCTCACCGCTACACTGTCAACGACTTTCTGGACTTAGGTCTGCCAATGCAGCCGGATGCCAACTTGGACATCTCCAGCTACGAGACACTGGCCCAGTGCTTTGTACTTCTGGCTTTTTGGAAAGCCCACGGATCCGGTCGCTTGGCTTTGACATTACCAGCTTTGAGCGATAACAGTGGTGCAGAGTCAGTGTGTAATAAGCTTTACACCTCTAAAGTACCACTTAATCTTTTTGTTCGCAAGCTTTCGATGTGGAGCTCGATTACCGGTGTCACTCTGGACTGCAGCCACATAGCCGGCGAGAAGAACGACGACGCAGATCTGCTTTCGCGTTGGGACGGCCTCACAGAACTTCCCGACAAGTTCCTCGCATCGAACCGCATCGAGCTCTCGCTTTTTGAGTTCTGGCTGATACGCTTTCAGGTGAATCTTTTTCCCGCTGACACATTTTTAAAATGGCAGCTTCCGTCAGCTGACAGCTTGGGCCCAACAAACCGTGGCTCCAACAAGCGCAAGTAGCACTGCTTTCTGCTTCCTCACCTCACTTCTCCACTTGGCTTCTTGAGCGTCTTGCGAGGTTTCGGCTTGCCAGTTTCTTACTCGGGCTTTTCGACTGCTCCGCTGCTTCAGCTCAGCTTTCTATCCGGAAGGTCAAAGACCCCGGATGCTTTCAAGGACAGAGCAGTCGAGTTTCCGGCAAGCCGAAAGGAAAAGGAGAGAAGTGCGAGTGAAGCCACTGTCGACTTTTGCATTCCGCTTTTAGCTTGCTCTAGCCTCGTAGCCTTTTGATGTTGCGTGGTGTAGAACTGTCCTGAACGGTTCCTGTGTTCACCCAGGGTTGTTTCGGCAGTTCTTACCCCGCGGCCCCGCTTGGGTTCAAGCATACACCACGCAACAGCTGCTTGCTTTGCAAAAAACTTTCCCTCCCGCCCACACCTTTTGGGCAGCTTTTCAGCGCAGGGAGCTTTTCAGTCATAGCCCGCTAACGCTTACTTTACTGCTTTTCTCTTCTTAGCTGTTCCTTACATTCCGCTTTGCTGCTGCTTACTCTGTTCTGCTAAACGATACGGGCTTTTCGACTTGTCCGCTGCTTCAGCTCAGCTTTCTATCCGGAAGGTCAAAGACCCCGGATGCTTTCAAGGACAGAGCAGTCGAGTTTCCGGCAAGCCGAAAGGAAAAGGAGAGAAGTGCGAGTGAAGCCACTGTCGACTTTTGCATTCCGCTTTTAGCTTGCTCTAGCCTCGTAGCCTTTTGATGTTGCGTGGTGTAGAACTGTCCTGAACAGCTCTGCTCCCGAAGGCAGGCGGCCGCGCGACGGGCGGCTGCTACGGGCGCAGCGGTCGCGGTCGCGGACTCTTGCGCTTGAACCAAACGGTCAGCGGCGCCCATGCCCGAATGGTTGGCAAACTGTTAGCCCCCGACGCCCAATGGGCCGATGGTGCTGCGTAGACTGTCAGGAGTAATTGCGGGCCACCGAACCGCGAGAGGAGATGCGCGAGGCGCTGAGAAGGCTCGGGTAGCGGGTGTCGGGTGCTCTGAAATAGCAGGGCCGCAGGGCTGCTCCGCATGCATGGACGGCGTGGTAATCGCCGACAGCAAGGACACTGCTGCGCAGCTGGTCTTGGACCTCGCATATGCGCCCGAACTCCTTGCAAAAAGCGCAATTAGGGCTGAGCACACGGGCGGGCACGGAGGGTTTCTACAAGCTCCTCCACGCCATGATTACCGAATTGGACCCACACGCGACCGTGCTGTCCATCGATGCGGTCGGCGCCGACGATCATGCATCACGCCAGGCATGCTGGAGGGGCTCAGGTCCGGCCCAGCCCTTGTCCCACGCCGCCTTTTCGTACGCTAGTTTTACAGCAGCGCCAGCGTCGACACCTGGCTCGACGACAACGGCGGCGAACATGTGTGGCGCAAGGCGAAGGAGGAGACGGTGAAGCCATCTTCGCTTTTCTGGACGAGTAAACGTAAAGCGGGGTTTGCCGAGCAAAGGGGACACATCACCGGGTGACGGGCTCGCCAGCTGGCGGCGCGATCGTGCGCCGGCATACGGCTTTTTACTTTGCGGGCTAGCGGGCGTGCGTCAACTGGCGTTTGCATGCGGTCCGCGCGCGAAGATGTTCAGGCAGCGTGTTCCCCGCTCGGGGCCCTCGCCTCGCGCGCCCTGCCCTTCGCGACCTGTGGACACGCGTGCTGGGGCTTGCAAAGGAACGGGGCGCATGAGTTGGCACGGCGAGGGACGTGTGGCGCGCGGCTCGGTCCGAGCAGTTGCGCGGTGGGCCTTGCGCGGGTCGGCAGTCATGTCTGCATGTTGCGCAGGCGGAAACAGCAAGCTTGCACGACTAGCCATTACGCAGCTTGGATTCTTTGCGCGACCGCACTGCGAAGCGCCTTCCAGCGGCGGCGCCAAACGGTGGAGTTCAACTGCTTCGCTGATTAGCTCGCTGGCCGCCCGGCGGAACGTGCGGGAAGGTCAGCACAGTGCTGTTCGCGCGTGCTCTGTTACCTGCGTCCACAGCTAAGAGTGCAGACCCTATGTTCGGCCGACCGCGCGCTACATTATCTAAGGCATTCGGAAAAATGTTTGGTCTTCAGCGGGATGCTGAGCTGCTGCCAAACAAACCCGCGGCAAGTTTCGCAAAAAAGTGGTCGCATCGCACAGACCTTGTTTTCTGAACAGTGCGCATCGCCGGCATAGGAGCATTTTTGCATCATTTCCAACATAGTGCATTCCTGGACCCTTCACAATTCAATGCACGCCATCTCAAACGAGTTCGACGCCGTACACAACTTATTCGCCCCGCACGCACTGAATTAGATGCACATTTCCGGCCCTTCACGTTGTCTGAGCGCGACCGAGCTTTGCGATAAAGCGCTGCGGCCAAAGCCATGGTTGTGACGACATCCCTTATGCAGCTCTTCATGTAAGTTTGGGATGGTGGAAACATGCCTTACTGCAATTTTGCAATGCATGCCAATATCATGCCTGTGTGCTGCCGTCATGTTGGAATGTTGAATTCTGTACATAGGAACGCCCCACACCTTTGGTGAGCCCAGGCTACGGTATAGTATTGTATAGCTGCATACTATGTGACCGACGCAGCGCCTTTGGTTCAAGAGTAAAAGCGTGACCGCTCAGGGTTTTACAGTTTAACTTGGTAGCGGAGCAAGGAAGCCTGAAGATCCAGGAAACCTGTGGGCCGAAGGAAACCGGATTGGAACCGGAAGAAGTACACGAGGATACCTGGAAACTGGACAGTAAATCTTGGAATTCGCCATGAAGGTGATCATGGAGAAGATGTACCAGGACCTCTTGCTATTTGTGGTTGGATTCTGTATGAGTATCACGCTGAGCCAAGGAAGTATTCAGGAAACAAGTTGCTTGTGGATGAACACGTCTCACCTTGTTATTCGACCTCAGCCGTTTACCCTCGAAGAGGAAATTTCGGATTGTGTATGGGATCAATTGTACCCCCAAGGATGGGAGAACGATCGGAAGAAGGATCTCTCGTCCCAGCGGCAGGAACTATGGAACTCAAAGACAGTGAGATCTTCCAGGATGAACCTCACCAGAAAGTGTCTCGAGTCACGGAACATGAACCGTTGCCTAGAGTGGCAAGGCCTGTACATGAAGATGTCATGGTGGACCGGACTGCAGAGTTGGGAGAAATGCGGCAGAGCGCAGAAGAGAGGCGAGCTACCTTGGTGGAGCAAGCTAACCTCCTGCAGACGCCAGGAAGGAAAGCTGAAAGTACTCCAGCAAAGACTCCAGGGACAACTGGAGGAAAGTCGCGAGAAGAAAAGAAGAAAGAGAAGAAGACTGCCAGGAAAGAAGCCAAGCAAAGCCGTAAAGCCAAGAAGGCTAGGAAGGAACAGGAAGAAGAAGCTACCAGTCCTCAAGGTGTTCGACGTAAGCTGGATGAAGCTATGGAAGTGGCAGGATCGATTGAGAACGTCATGTTGCTTGAGAAAGAGTATAAGCGATTCAGACTTGACGGAAAGTATCAACCCCCCTTCCTTAGTATCTACAGCCGGATGTTGCAGAACAATCAGAAATTCAAGCCCAGATCTTTCTATGATCCCCCAGGAAAGGATCAAGAGACAGAACAACTCGAAGCTCTTAAGGAAGAAGAAGAGAAGAAGTCCGAGGCAGAGTCTCGGAAGAGAAAGTTGGCCGATCTGGAAGAGCAAAGGCGGATCTTGGAAGCTGAGACGAAGGAAAAGCAACGAGCACTGGAGGAAGAAACCAAACGCCTTCGTGCAGTGGAAGAATCGGAGCGTATGGCTAAAGCACTTCAGGAAGCTAACAAGCAGCAAGCAAAGCTCAAGGTACCCGAAGCAGCACTGGACTCGGCGGAAGAATGGTACCGCAACAAAGCCCTTGAAGTCGTGGACAAGCTACGAGCTCGGAAAGACGAGCAGGTGGAAAACTCTCGTAAGGCCGAAGAGAATTGGCTCCAAGCTTGCAGGAATATGGAGAAGGCTCAAAGTGGATTCATTGTGGCATCGGAGAGACTGCAAAGTGCCATGGGACAAGCCCTCAACATCGCAGTACGCCACGGAGAGGAAAAGGGTCTACTTCAGATCTTGCAATCCATCCACGATGGAACTACTCAAGCACCGGAACCAGCTGAACCCGCTGTTAAAGCGATGCCAAAGAAAATGCCCAAGTTGGGAACGGATGCTCAGGCTGGAGAGGATAAAGAGAAGAAGCTTCCAGAGCAAAGAAGGTCTGGAAAAGGGAAGAAGCAACCGCCTGAGGAAACCCCAGGATGGGAATGGACAGAGAGAATTTATGAAGAAGACCTTGACGAGAATCGCCCTCTACGAAGCGGAGAAGAGTATTTACCTGGGTCAAAACCTTTCAGTCCAACTTGGACAAAGGAGTTGGTACAAATCCTTTCTGGATTGGCTATGCGCGGGATTGGAGAGAAAGACGGAGAGCATCAGCCCCTATGGGAGTTCCCTTGGCAGATCACTTCGTATGAAGACTTTGAGACAATCCAAGCCCAGCTGGAACCCTACAGCGTACGACTCATCCCGTCTCGACGGGAGTGTAAGGGTGCCGGACGCTTCACAGAAGTATGGAGTATGCATCCTGCAGGAAAGGGTCGTTTGGACATCGAACCAACAGAGACTACCCGGAGACGTACTGTGTATGGAAGCTTACCTCCAGGAAAAAGTTTGTGCTCGCTATGTTGGCATGGTGGACATTGGAAGAAGGCATGCAAGTTTAGCCAGCTATGCTTTTGCCTGTACGAGCCCATGCTCACAATATTGGATCGCGGAAACAAGACAAGGCGACTGTACCCGATGCGAGGAATCACTCGTCCCGGATTCCAAGGAGATACTACGAATCCGTACAAAAGATTTTTCCCAATGCTCGCACTTTGCGACTTTGGGAGTATGTCCAGGGAAGTCGCGGAGAGTAACAAGCGATTCTGGAAGCAGGCAAAGGATGAAGGAGACTTTCCAGTTCTGTATAGAGAAGAGCAAGCCAACCGGAAGAAGGA